ATTAGTTACTTGCAAGTAGTTAATAAAAGAATTTTTTTTTCAATTTAGCTTCGTTTTGACGATAAATTTTTAAATTTATTCGATTTGATGGGTTAAAATTAATTTTCATTGTGTAAGGACGTAAAATATTTTTGTTTTTAGCGAAATTCAACCTAGAATATTTTTTAAAGACGTGACATCGATGGTAACACTTGGAATATTGTTGTAGTTATGCAACCCAACATCCGTACAAATTGCAATGCAAGTTTTATAACTTACGCACGATTTTTCTCCTAATTTGTTGGTGTGCCCAAGCAGTTACTAAAAAATCTTTTAAACAAAACACGAGTGAATACAACATCTCGACACGGAATTCATATTTAGACTTCAGGAAATATTTACCGGCATTTGTACAAAAGTAATAAAGCTTGTAACCAGTTTACAAAAGATTAGACAGATGTCGCTATGCGTAAAATTTCAATATTTGGTTATTTTTGTTTATTTTTCGATGTAATAACGTAATAAAATCATTATAAAGAAGCAATACTATACTTTCATGTAGATAATTTCAGTAAATATTCAATTTATAAATGTTTTCCATTGATTTATTTATTCTGAGGCTTTCAAAATCAAAAACAGATGCAACTGATGGTTCTCATTATTTATTTATCCACCAATGTGTTAATTCCGGGAATAATTTTATGTGCCAACATTTTAATTACTAAATAATTGATTAATCTGTTTTAATTAATGCCAACACAGCACATTTCAACAAAAGAATCACGTAAAACAACACAAACAACAAATATTTAAATATTTGCACATAAAGTTAATTTAAACAAAACAAACCAACTTATATAAACAAACAAAGTATATCTAAACTCCCAAAAGTCTTATCTGCATAATCCTCCTATGCACCTGCCAAATATTTAACTTTCAAACATCTTAAAACTTAAAATTAAAGCATTTAACTACATATTAACATTGTATATTAAGATGTGTCAAATGATTCATATATATTCATGAGTTGCATATAACATACGAGTACACGTTAATTACTTATTGATTTCTTGCCTTCCTAACGCGGAGTGATGACGTGAATCTTCCGTCAGCACCCACACACGTTGAATTGATATCAACCACAATAATTATCTGCCAAAATCGCACCTCGCGCATCCCTGAACTGCAAATCCCAAACATTCGTAACATAGGTACGGGTTTTGGTTAATCAACGCACGCAGTCGATATATTTATATTCTATATATTCGGTTGGTGCGTTGCTGGTAATTACTGGTAATCGCGTTCGTACGCCCAACCGACCATATCCATAATTCGCGGCCGGGCGAAAATCGGAGTTAATTTCGTGGTGCGGTACGCATTAAAACATTTAAACAGTTTATAACTGTGGGATGAGGTGATTTATATTTATTGCACAACTCTCATCGGAGCGACGAATCGCTCGTGCGTGTGATTAAAGTAATTAGTTGCCGAAATTTGCGAAATTCACCACGCAAATAAAACACTTTGATCAACTAATCACTTAAAACCTCGCTCAAATGTAAAAGTTTATAATTTATAGGTTAGAATATAAAGGTTATGTTTACGACGCCATCTTGTGGTGAAAAATGAAAGCATTTAGTACTGATATAACCTATAATAAAAGATTGTGGAATGTAATGTGATATAATGTAATATTTTCAATTTCCAGGAGGGAAACACATTCGAAACGAATCAGGCGTGATTTCTTCGATAAATGTCCCCATCAACATTCCGATTCAATCGAGTGATATCAGGTGCATGGCATTCAAGTGCCCTGAATCGTACAATTCGACGAGTATTGCATTTTTACGAAAATTGAAAAATTTGTTTGACCACCCTTCCAACTGCTGTTTATCGCTTGGAAAACTGGAGTCAAGGGGCATGAAAATAAAGAAAAGTTGCGGAAAATATCGAAGACAAAACAAGCATTTGATTCCGTCCTAGTATTCTTTCTCCTTCATCACCATTGTAATCAAATTGATGGCGGGACATAACCTAGTGTTAGAGGGTTGTAGTTTCCCAAAGAAAAGAAAGCAAATTGCATTAGAATTACTCATCATGGTGAATGTAGAGGGACAAAACCAAATAACAAAAAAAACGATGTTCTAGAATTTCTACTCGAAGGGTAAGATGCTTGGAAGAACCGAACTAAAAAGGATGTAGGTCCTGCGTGGACCGCTGACACTCTCTGGGGGAAATGGCATTAGTTCTATTAGGTGAAAAGATTTGTATTGTTAAGGTTTATGTGAGCTTCACGGGTCGAGGGCGGGCGTCGGACGTGCTCACCGAGGACGAAGCAAGACTAGAGAACACCCTCAAGAACGTTTTGTCCCAAGTCCCTGGTCTTCACCAGTGCATGTCCGCACTTTGCTTAACACTGCGAAGTCCTTTCTTAAGCTCCCCAGACTCGCCAAGTGGAAAATTATTAAACTCTTGATAAATAAAATTAACTTTTTTGATAGTAATAATCCTTTGGAACAATTTTCTGCATTCTGGAAAGGATGTTCAGATTCTGCACACGTAAAAGAAAGCACCACGTAATGATGGCTCTAAGGCGTTGGCTGATTACACGAAAAACCAGCTTTCAGCACACCAAACAACTGGAGCGCGAAAATGATCTCGAAAGTGAGGACAAATTGCTTGTGTGATTCTCCACGAGTGGCGTAAACGTTCAAAAAGCACCATTACTTGCACCTCATGTGTGACGCAGTATTTTCATGATGTAATTACGAATTTTAACGGTTTGGGTAAATTAACCGCAAAGTTCAGCGATGTTTTGAGCGTTTTAATGGCGAAAACCTGCGTGAAGAGTCTTGACATGTCACATCAGCATCAGCGTCAGAGATTTTGGCTTTGGGAGACAAATTTCCATCCCTGCTGGTGCAAGTGCTGCTTATGTGTGGCAATTACCCGTGTCCCGCACGTCGCAACGCAAATTTCACTTCTCGTCACTTCCTCTGACGTCGGCGGCGTCTTCGAGTGATTATTACACCGCGAGCTTTCCGGAGATTCATCAACTTCCCACATGGCAATCACACAAAGACCACAATGATGAAAGCCTGACATGAAAATTGCAAAAATTTAATTTTCTTACAAAAATTTGACGAGATAAATCAGAAATCTTGCTTTAAGTGTCGAACTTTTTAAGTCCTTTACAACGTTGGACAGGAAACTTTTGTTTTTACAATCTAAGCCTAACCGGAAAGTTTGATAATGATATCAGAACGGTATGAAGGTAAGCGAAGAAAATTCAATTTTGACTTTATTATGTGCCGAAAATTTCGGCGGAGCAATACTTTCAAAAGTTAAAACTCACCTAAAGTGTGCTTTTATGTTTTAGACACTCAAAAATAAACAAGTGAAGGTAATAAATCAAAAGGGAAATTAAACTTTTACAATAATCTCAACAGAAATTCAGAAACATAGCAAATTTAAGTATTTTTAGTGAAGTTTTAGATAAATTGCATTATAAAAACGTTTGTAAAGTTAATTTTGACGTTAAAAAACCAAAATTTGACATTTATCGCACAAAATCAATGAAAACAATCAATTTAATTGAAAATTTTTATTGTAGGCAACTTTATACACACTTCAGTGATGAAATGACGTCAATATTGTTCGTTATTCTGATTGGTCAACAACATAACCTCGTTTTAACTCCAAAAACCGCATGTTTTATATTCCATTTCTCAAATTTCACTAAATAAATATACAATTTTAGTTATTTTGATGTTAAAATAAAGAATTATACTGGTGTAGCCGAATGTGAATGTTAATGCGCTCATGAAACAAAGTAATTTCACTGAAATAATAAAGCCGCGATATGCGTGTTGTTTCAAACATATTCTGAAGATGAGCCCGTGGTTCATTCATCGCCGTGGAAGCCGCTTTAGTATTAAATAATATCCAGTTTCACGGCGTGCATTGTTTCTCCACTTCCATTTATTTATTGTCGTCACTCACCGCGGCCTCACAGCGAGCTTGAATTCGGTAATAAACTTCATACAAGTCTGATAATGTGATAATAATTTTCGTCGCGCTAAAGCGGCAAATTCGGCGAAAATTTCTATATGAAAAGCAACGCATGCTCAGAGTTGGATTAAAAGATTATTTTCCGTCAGTTATCTCTTCTTTTATGTGGAGACTGTTTTGGTTACTCATTTAATCCGCTCTGAATATATTTTTACTCGTAGTACTTAAATCAAACGGTTTTTTTTTCTAGTTTTGCGATTTGTAAATGATTTCTAAAAATAATTTCAAACGATTTCGCACTCGGTGAATTGAAATAAACGCCGGTGCGTTTTTGTTTGTTGTTTTTCACATCAGACAATAACAGACGATCTGTGTAGTATTCTGTTTTACCCAAAAACGATAACGAAAAATGCGATGCTGATGCCCGATGAGATGCACTCGTGTGTGCAGACGCGCTTTGTTTTTGCGCTCCGGTAGACTTCCGGAGTGCGCTTTTCCCCCGCGTGTTATTGTTGTCCGAATGCCTCGCATCCCTCGGATGCGTCTCCAGTGGACCGAATCCATCAGAAACATCTCTCGTTAGCAAACACACGCTTGGAGAACATAAAATAACATTAAATTTGAACCGCACGAGCAAAAAACGGGAAAAAAACTGCGAAAAACTGCAAAAAACGAGAATCAAACTAGAAAAACTGAACCTGTGCAAACTGAACTTGCTGCCTATCAACGCATACAGACTAATTACAAGCGGATATTCAGGAAAAACGGAATTAATTCCGTATCGACTAAATTGTTCATTGTAACAATCGCCCGACGTAAATGGAAATAATGTTGAATGTATGTTCCAGTAAAAGAGCATAAATGAAGAGAATTTGAACACAGACAAAACATTGAAGCAAATTACAAACATTTATTAAATGTTTACACTTTTGTTTCTTTTGTTTAACAATTAAAACAAAATATTTTCATTAAATTTCAATCAATACGAAGATAAATAATAAATTACTTACCAAAAATTGATCTGATCACACAAAAATTAATCAATACGTGATACTGCTTCCACTCCACACAAATAAATTAATTTTGTTTTTAAAGTTGTTAATTAAATATGAATAGAAATGAATTTAGATTTGTGTGACAAATTTTGTGTGCAAAGTTTTCGCGTGAAACACGTTTCGCTACGATCGCTGGGAAACGCGACGCGAACGGTACGACGACGCGCACGGAACTAGAAACACGATGCCGGCGTCGCGACGCCAGCATTAGGGGACGCTCACCCTTCGATATAAAAGCCACCCTGTGATATCCACCCACCAAGGTTATACAAGCGTGTGCAAAACTCCCATAAAACATAACACAATAAATTTAATACATATTTTAGTGAAAATATAGGTAAAATACTCGTTTTTTGTATTTTTCTTTTGTTTTAATTTCAAATAATTTTCAAACAAAAATTTGATTTTGAAAGTAGAATTTACGTGGATTTTGTTATAAAACGTTAATAATTTAATTATAATTTTATAAATATTTTCGTTCTGGATATAAATTTTCTTATAGTTTTATGAATGTTTATATAAATGTCACATTGTTTAAATTGTTTTACCTCCCACTTTACACCCGGAGTATCTTTTTGACAGCTGTCAAAAAGTTACAACCATGTTTGACATTTCGCATTCGGTTTGGCTTGTTTGTGGCACTGGTGGCAACCTCTCATTTTGTGCGTCGATTTATATAAACAATCAAGGAATAAATTCAGTGGTAATGTAATCCGAAAACACACATCTTCATCAAAATGTCCGGCTCAATTGAAATCCCCTTGCGGGATACTGATGAGGTAAGCACTAGTTGTAAATTTATTTTTAAAAACCTAACCTTACAATTTGCGCAATATGTTTGTATGAAAACACTTGTTTCATTATTATTGCAACTATTTCAGGTGATTGAGTTATGTCTGGACCAGCTACCGGACGGCGAGGAAGTATGGAGTATATTACGACAAGAACACTCGCCTTTAAGTCTCTGGGTGAATCTTGCAGTAAGTTTTAAGATTACATTGCATAGTTTAATTAAGTATTAAATTATGGGTTTTATTTTATAGTTGGAATACTACAAACAAAACAAGATAGAAGATTTTATAAAGATCTTGGAGTTTTCAAGAGTTGATGCCAATGTTGTTTACAAGGACTATGAAAAAGATCAGATGCGAGCACTTGATATGCTTGCTGCATATTATGTGCAGGAAGCAAATCGAGAGAAGAATAAGGATAGGAAAAGGGAACTTTTTACCAAGGCTACACTTTTATACACCACTGCTGATAAGATTATTATGTATGACCAGGTAAGTGAATATTTTAAGCATTTAAAATAAGGATTTTCTTTAAAAATTGCTTCAAATGTATTAATTTATTTATTTTTTATTGTTTAGAATCATTTACTGGGTAGAGCATACTTCTGTCTGCTTGAAGGTGACAAAATGGACCAGGCTGATGCCCAATTCAACTTTGTATTGAACCAGAGTCCAAATAACATCCCATCTCTCCTTGGTAAAGCCTGCATTGCCTACAATAAAAAAGACTACCGCGGCGCGCTTGCTTTCTACAAGAAAGCCCTGCGCACGAATCCAAATTGCCCCGCAGCAGTACGCCTCGGCATGGGTCACTGTTTCATGAAGCTCAACAATCAAGAAAAAGCTCGCCTGGCCTTCGAACGTGCTCTGCAACTAGATCCACAATGCGTTGGGGCACTGGTAGGTCTCGCCATTCTGAAATTGAATCTTCAACAACCAGAAAGCATCCGAACCGGCGTCAACATGCTTTCCAAAGCATACACAATCGACAGTTCTAATCCAATGGTCCTAAATCATCTCGCCAATCACTTCTTCTTCAAGAAGGATTATCAACGCGTGCAACATTTAGCTCTGCATGCTTTCCACAACACTGAAAACGAAGCAATGCGCGCGGAAAGTTGTTATCAGCTCGCAAGAGCTTTCCACGTTCAGAACGACTATGATCAAGCCTTCCAATACTATTATCAAGCCACTCAATTTGCGCCGGTGCAGTTTGTCTTGCCCCATTTCGGTTTAGGTCAGATGTATATCTACAGAGGAGATGCAGAGAATGCGGCGCAATGTTTCGAAAAGGTTCTCAAAGCGCAACCCGGGAATTATGAAACAATGAAAATTCTGGGTTCACTTTACGCGACTTCAACATCTCAATCGAAACGCGATATCGCCAGGAGTCATCTGAAGAAAGTCACTGAACAGTTCCCCGATGATATTGAAGCATGGATTGAACTCGCTCAAATATTGGAACAATCCGATCTTCAAGGTTCTCTCAGCGCTTATGGTACAGCTATAAAGATCTTAAAGAAAGACGTGCAAGCAGAAATCCCTACGGAAATTCTGAATAACGTTGGAGCTCTACATTACCGACTTGGGAACATGCCGGAAGCTCATAGGCATCTAGAAGAAGCTCTTCAACGTGCCCGAGCTGAAGCCGAGCACGATCCACAATATTACAACTCAATTTCGGTTACAACAACGTATAACTTGGCTAGATTGAATGAGGCGGTTTGTCTCTTTGATAAATCCGAAAAGTTGTACAAGGATATTATCAAGGAACATCCTAATTATGTGGATTGTTACTTAAGGCTTGGTTGTATGGCTAGGGATAAAGGTCAGATCTACGAAGCTTCGGATTGGTTCAAGGAAGCTTTGAAGATCAACACGGAACATCCAGATGCTTGGTCACTACTGGGCAATCTCCATCTGGCGAAAAACGAATGGGGACCCGGGCAGAAAAAGTTCGAACGTGTTTTGAAGAATCCAGCAACCTCACAAGATTCTTATTCACTTATTGCTTTGGGTAATGTTTGGTTACAGACACTGCATCAATCAAGTAAGGATAAAGAACGTGAGAAGCGACATCAAGAACGAGCACTTTCCATGTTTAAACAAGTCCTAAAGTTGGATCCGAAAAATATTTGGGCAGCAAATGGTGTTGGCGCTGTTTTGGCACACAAAGGTACCGTGAATGAAGCTAGGGATATTTTCGCGCAGGTGAGGGAAGCGACAGCCGACTTTTGCGATGTCTGGTTGAACATTGCACACATCTACGTGGAGCAGAAGCAGTTTGTCAGCGCTATCCAGATGTACGATAATTGTCTCCGGAAGTTTTTTAAGTATAACAATGTGGAGGTGATGCAATATCTTGCTAGAGCGTATTTTAAAGCTAACAAGATGAAGGAGGCTAAAATGGTGTTGTTGAGAGCACGACGGGTTGCTCCCCATGATACTGTTTTGCTTTACAACATTGCTTTGGTTTTACAACGCCTGGCAACGCAGATATTAAAGGATGAGAAGTCCACTTTGACGACCGTTCTTCAAGCTGTGCATGAATTGGGATTATCACATAAATATTTTACTTATTTATCCGAACATGGCGATAGAATGCGATATGATGTTACGCTAGCTGGATTGGAAGCCAGGCAGTGTCAAGATTTGTTATCTCAGGCACAATACCACGTCGCTCGGGCGAGGAGAGTCGATGAAGAGGAACGACAACTGCGTAAGAAGCAAGCGGATGAGAGGGTTGCATTCAAACAACGCCAGTTGGACGAACAACGCAGGATGGTCGAAGAAAAACGTGTCACTGAAGAGCAAATGCTACAAAAACGACAGGAATATAAAGAAAAGACTAAGAATGCATTGGTTTTCAATGATATGCCATCAGAGAAGCCTTCAAAGAGCAAAGGTCGCAGCAGGAAGGATCAATATGTGAGTGACTCTGGTTCAGATGTAGAAAACCGCGGAGATCGCGAAGCCAGACCACAGAAGAAACGAAAGAGAAGCGCTGATAGAAAAAGAGCGGCGGTGGACGCAGGAGAAACAAAGGCCGATCAGATTCAGACTCGGATAGACCCAAAGGTAAAAAGAAGAAAGGGCGAGATAGTAAGGACGATGGACTTAGTGCCAAACAGAAAAGTAGAATCGTCTCCAAGGCGACGATTTCCACTAGCGAGGATGATAGCGACGACAATAAACTCAAAATTGCCAGCGGAGATGAAAGCGGTGGCAGTGGCGGTGAAGGTGGTGGGGGTAAAAGACGCCGGCGGATTTCATCTGGCTCCAGCCGGTCCAGATCTAGCTCGAGGAGCAAGAGCAGGAGTCGATCAAGATCGAAATCTCGATCTAAAAGTCGATCTCGCTCTAAATCTGGTAGTCGTTCACGTAGCAGGTCTAGGTCCCGATCCAGGTCACGTTCAAGATCTAAATCTGGAAGCAGATCACGCTCGAGATCTAGATCTAAGTCTCGTTCCAGGTCTGGATCAAGATCACGCTCCAGATCCAAGTCTGGTAGTCGTTCGAGGAGTAGATCCAAAAGTGGATCACGAAGTCGCTCTGGTTCAAGAGCTAGATCTAAATCTAGATCCCGCTCAAGGTCACGATCACGGTCAAAGTCTGAATAGACTGTTTTAAGTTAATTACTATGATGTTATTTCATTTACTTTCTTGTATGTATATTTTTTTTAGAAAAGGAACACAATTCAAAACTTGTACGTGTTTAAAGATACATAGAATAGTTTAAGTACTGTATCTCTTATCGATTAAAAGTTGTCAACCGAGGTTATGGCGTTGAGCGTATCAAATAATGCGTTTACTCTACCGGTACATATGTTATGTATGTGTGATTGTATAGATATAAAAGTGCTAACACGCTAAAAAGTCAAATATTGCTCGCTACTCGTTGTTGATGCCATGACTGCCGTTTCGTGGCATTGGCAGTGTCATCGTGTGACTGTGGCCGTGATTATATCCACTGCCGTAGCCGTGTCCGCCATGACTGTGATTATGGTTCTGTGCGTTCAGGATGTTGTGATGGCTGCCGTAGAAAGACGTGAAGGTGGTGTTGGTGCTCAGACTTAACGGGTAGGTATCGCAGCTGTTCATCGTACTAAACGTGGATAACATTTCGCTGGTCATTTCAGGGCTGTCGGAGAGTACATGTTCCCGAATTTGGCACTCGGATGTGCGGAGATTGTTGGGATGCGACTGTCTGCGATGATTATTGTTGATCCTCGCTGAGATGGGGATTGGTTTTATTGCGTAGATGTAGATCCCCAACATTGCCAATGCATAGGATAGGAAGTATAATGCATGAAACTAAAACACAACAGATTAGTAATTCGCCATTTTGTTTACCGAACTAAAATTACCTTGTAATTGAATAAAATCATTCCTAGAACCAATGTGTAAAAGTTACCAGTGATGAGAGATAAGTGCAGTGCTGTTGTACCCATATTCATGAGGAAAACTGAACTGAGGGTGCAGAATAGAAACTGACATGATGTGAACGTCGACAGTAACATACTGGAGTCTTTCCAGCTGATGGTCAATAATGTGCGCTTTTCTAGCAGGATCATCTGTACGCCGGAGACAATACTCCCGAACAAGCCAAGCAGTCCTAGATATTCCACAACATCAGTGTTTTTGACTGAGAGTTCCTGTAGAACAGTCACGATTGCAAATAGAACTGCTCCACCTAAACATAACATGTCTCCAACCAGTTGGTTCTTGCCATCTACTTTGGTATCGTCGATATTAGCCCACACTAGACATCCGATACCCATGAGACACACCGACACTGCAAGTATGTGAACCATCCGGTAGCGCACTCCCAAGACCAAACAACTCAATGCTAATGCTACAGGTATTGCAACACATCCCAATAACTATCAAATCAAAAGATATTTATGTATTACAGGTGCTAGAAATACTGATTGTCTTACTTGGATGCTACTTAGAGTAGTAAACTGATGAGCTGAGCAAAGTAACGTGTTTGCCTGCACGTCGATCAAGCATAGCAGGACATATCGCCATCCGCGGTGTTTGATGATTTGTATGAGTCCTTGATCCCCTCGGCGAAATGCTAACCAACTGGTGTACACCGCACAGAGGAACATATAGTGCGGGAAGCTTTGTCCTGTTGGTAAGACTGTGCTATCATCCCTGCTGATGAAATGGGAGAGTGTGTTCATGGATACCAGCAGAATGGAGAGGATCTGACCGAGAATTATGTTCTGCCATACCGACCTACGAGATATTTCATTCGTTTATTGTCTTTTTAGATTAAAATGGTCGAAATACTTGCCATTTTCCTAATTCAGTCAAGTAATTATTGAGCTTTTCTGAGCAGCCGGCGTTCTCAACCATTTTCGCCAACGATCGGCCACATTTAACACAAATTGTAGCCGCTTGTTTTGTTTACTTTGAGCGGCAGGGTGGGGCAGTGACCGCCGCCGCCATCGCTCCACTACTGGCGCGTTGTCGCCGTTGCCACCCTTTTGCACCGCCGTTTCCCCACATGCGCAACGTAACAGTTCAAAATACATATCTTTTATTTGAAAATTAGGGATATGTGCATCAATGTTGCAGTTTACGACACCCTTCCCAACATAAATACTTTTAAATCATTTTAAACCCTTAGCAAATTCTTGAAATTCCAGTTAAAATAACTGTTTTTTGTGATTTTTCTACTTTTTGGGAAAAAATATCATATATCTCTTGTAATAATAGGGTAATTTTAAGTTTCTCTGCGTCATGTTGTTGCTTACGGGAACCTCTAACATATGAATACATATTTAACCCTTTAAACCTTCAAGAAATTGCCTTAAAAATGACGATTCTATTTCAATACATTTCATTTTGGTTGAATAACAGGGTCGAACTATGTTCTTAAAATTTTTTTCGGTCGAAAGACAGGGTCACACTTTTTTCTTAAAATATTTTCGGTCGAAAGACATGGTCGCACCTTTTTCTTAAATTTCTTTTTGTCGAACAACAGGGTCGAACTTTTTTCCTAAAAATTTTTCGGTCGAACAATAGGGTCGAACTTTTCTCTTAAATTTTTTCCGTGAAACCGGCGAGATTAAATTGCGATTATCAGGAGAACAAAAAGGGCTACGAAAAAGAGGACTTCACATTCTTGATCCTTAAAGAATTCTCTACATGATAGCAGCATTCTTAAAAAACAACCAAAAGTGCATAAAAAAATTTAATGAAAAGATTTTGCTAAGTAAAGTTAAGTAAACACTTACTGTACGCTATACCCTCACAATATCGCCGAAACGATATATTACTAAACCATTGCAAGTCAATGCAAGTATTTGTCAAGCCTGATGTGGATAGCTATTTCGACCATTAGAGGTCTCATCAGCCCACCTACAAATACTTGACAAATACTGCATTGACCTGCCATGGTTTAGTAATATATCGTTTCGGCGATATTGTGAGGGTATAGCGTACAGTAAGTGTTTACTTAACTTTACTTAGCTTATACTCACCCTCTCGTACTACCATTGTATTTCAAGAAAAGATTTTGTGATAAAAAAGGCAAAAGATTTCTCTTTTTTATGTTGGAAATTAAAAGTTGGAATTTTTAAATTCTGATTGCGGATTCTTAACAAGCAATTAAATTTGAGTAATTTATCTTAGTAATATTTGCCCTTATCATGCTTTGTTTAGGCCCTATTGGGTTGTAAAGATTACATTTAACACGAATTACTTTAAACAGTTTTTGTCCTACCTATATCTTTTAAACCGTGCGTCAAATTAAAATTATGTACTAAAATAATCACTCGATAAAATTGCCCTCTTTGATAATATGTAATAAAAAAGTAGATTTTTTAATTTCTTGCGCAATGCTATTAATTAATAAAAATTTGGCGGAGGCGCCTGACATTTTAATTAGTATTTATTAAAAATAGATAACACCATTGTGTAGAGCCGCTCTTAATTACCCAAGTTACACAACTTTTTGTTTAATAGCTCCAAGGGTGTTTCCTGTAGATGGCTTTAAGTGAAATGTGTACTCGCAGCAAGATTTAAGAATCAATTTTCTCCGAAACTAATAGAGATAATCAGAAACCGACAACACTATGATGCACAGCATCAAATCCTAGATAGGATAACATTAAAAAAAATTCAAATATAAAATGTGAATACAAAATTTTCCGACACGATTTTCTTGAAAAGTAATAAAGTTAGAGAAGAACTTTCTTCATTTTCTTCAAGTCGTGATAAGGCTCTACGAAATGGCAGATTTAGTTTTTTCAATTTCCAAAGTTGACCAAACACCACTCGAAAAAGATCAAGAGGTTACACTTGACTCTTTTGTGGCTCAAAAATTATTTTTTACGCTAGAAGAAAATGGAAAACGCTAATCGATAAAGTTTACCAAGGGGATGAAAGATATCCAGTCAGTTTTTTGATAACATCAATATTTCGGAAAATGGGTGGTAATTTCAAAACTGATCAAATAAAACTACCTCCCCGATTTTCCCCAAACTTTTCAAACTGATGAAAAACAATGCCAGGAATCCACAAATCCAAGTTTGGTTGCGCTATCTTAATTAGTTTTCAAGTTATTGACCATTTTCAATTATTACATAAGTGTTGATAACTGAAAATTTTTAAGTGATATATAATGTAGAATTTAATCCTACACACGAATATGAAAACAGTTTTTCTTTATCTCAAATAGTTTGCAAGATAAGTGCGAAAAACTGGTTTATACATTTCCTTCATCATTTCTTAAGCAAAAAATAAAATTGGAAATTTAATGTTTTTTCTGCAGCATCTGTTAGCAAACATGATTATAAACACTTTATTTTAGTAATATTTTGTTATCAGACTAATAGTTTAGATAATAATCGCCATTTAATGATAAATATTTCCATAGCATTTCTTCAGTATTGAAGGAATAAAAATTTAATTATATTAATAGTGTATCATGTAGAGGATCTCTCAAGGATTACGCATATGAAGTCCTTTTGTTCCTAAGCCTTTTAGTTTTCGAGATATTTGCATTTGAAATTTTAAATTCAATTCGCGCGAAAATAATTTTAAGCCAAAAGTCCGACCCTGTTCTTCGAGCACAAATAATTTTAAACAAAAAGTCCGACCCTGCCTTTCGGCCACAATTAATTTAAAAAAAATGAAAAAATCTAAAAACAATAACCAAAAAACAACATTGAATGAGGGTAAAAACAAATAAAACACAATTTTTGCCAATTGACATGAATATATTATAATTTGTTTAAATTCATAGGCAATTAATTGTAAACTATAATAAATTATCAACAGTTAAAACAGTGCTGAAGCATCCTCTCATCACTAACTAGTAACTTAGTACATACATAGAATATATTAATTAGTTATGTACACATATTTTGTATCTTATAAACTTGTGACAAAAGTGAGACCTGCAACGTCTCCATCAATCATGAACCAATCCGCAGACTAGGAGTGGATATGTTTTTATATTATCACATAAAAACACAATCTATCTTATAAATGAGCGTCCGTTATCAATGAATGGCGTAAACTTTTATAAAACTCTTAAGTTCTAACAGTGGCAATACGCCCAGTAATCAGAATCGCGTGTAAATATCAACCAATGGTCCCCGCAATAAATTAACCTCAACTTACTGATACATATAAAAATATTGACTTAAAATAATTGACAAAGTAGAATACTGTTTACACACATACAAATCAAAGTATTGAACGTGAGACTAGAAGAAAAGTAATTCGTTCATAGTTTAACATAGTTTAGTTATTAAAAAATGTTTTAAAAATGTGTTTTAAAACGACGTTTCTAACGTTGGCGATGGTGTTCGTTCGGTTTTCACTGGACTCTGATGAGCTACAGTATTGCTCATTTTGGTTTTATTATCAAAATTGTATCGGGTATTGTTCGTGTTCGTTTTGGGTGCATTCGCGAAGAATTGTGCACGTTGTGCTTGCAGTCTTTGAGTGGCAGTCATCGGTGGCACCTTGGGAAGCTCTCGTTCGAACCTCTGCTTGATATCTTTAAAACTGGACAGTGCACCGCTGTCCTGATCATTAGCAGCGTAAATATTCTTCGGAGAATAATTCACATTCGGTTCCGAAGTTATTTTATGCGCAGGGTCAAGTTTTGGACTGTATTTTGGCGAAGCAGTCTTCAAAGGACTCTCCTTCGCGTCTCCATTGAGACTCGACCTGGAATGGTTCTCATCTTCCTGACAATCTTCGGGTATTGTCGAAGAGAGTACATCCGTTCGTGGATTAGCGAAGCGCCATTGCGACCTGGGCGATAACAATTTGGGCACCGCGCGTTTTTCACCATTCTTATTCGGTGAACCAGGCGGCACAAACTTCCGGTTTCGCATATTCCTTGGACTTTGACTCAAGTCCAAGATGCTCACATCATTCTCCTCCTTGATTTTCGGCTGTTGCTCCAATTGCTGCTTGGAGAGCTTCAGTTGTTCAACAGCACTCAACTTTTTGGAAACCTGTGCCACTTTTGGTTTACCATGCATGAGCAATAATCGCTTAAAGTCTAATCTTGAGGTCTGAGACTCTTTCTTGTTGCTGGCAGTGTTAACATCAGTTGAACAAGCCCAACTTTGCCGGGAGCGACTTTCCGCCGGCGGAATCTTATCAATATTTGTATTGAAATCAATATAGTCGCCATTCGGGGACCAACTCAAGCCTGGATTTCGCTTTGTCCAAGTAGCCAGTCTCAGGCCGATTGAAACTTTTGTTACTGGCCATTGAACTTTCGGAACTCACCGGTGACAAACTCGGCGAAGGTCTGTCAAGTTCCTCTGATTGAATGTTCATTTTCTTCTTTGTTTTATGTATAACCGCGTAGAGTTCTTCATTGGTCATGGAAGACTTTTTCGGTGAAAGTATCCTCGGAGTGGCTTTCAACTCTTGCACCTTTGCTGGTGTGGAGGTCTTGATCGGTGACTCAAAATGATAGTAACTGTGAGGCACGTGCGGTGACAGATTATACATATTGACTTGTGGTATCTCCACCGGTATACCCATTTGATGATGATGTTGTTGAGGTTGTAATTGTTGTAACTGCTGCTGGTGGTGTTGTTGTTGCATCATTTGCATTTCCTGTTGAAGGCGTTGTGGTGTTGGCGGCGGTGGATACTCAACAAATCCTTCAAACTCATCCTGCGTGTAATTTCTTCGTCCTTGGTACTCTTGAAAACCATCAAAATGGCGGCGGTCTTTTCTATCCAGACTATTGTACTCGATATTAGCCAATCCGCGCATTATATCCGGCGTTACTGATCGTTCCGGCAGCACCCGTGAGGAATATTGCGGTTTTCTACTTGGCAGCGTGCTGTACATGTTGGTCGGAGGAAAATTGAACATCTGGTTATTGTAAGCGTAATAATCTTGGCTTCTGGTTTCGGGCTGATTAGACGGGGAGAGTGCTCGTCCTAAAACAGAACATTCTTTGAAAACACACACTAACAGACTAATGTAGTTGGATACTTGAGCGCAGAATATGTATATAATTACAAACATTTCAACTAATTTGAGCTACTAATAAAAACGTCTCACCTTGGTGCGAATTCAAAAGCAAACGTGCGCTAGAAAACAAACAAGTCGACTGAACGTGCATGGATGCTCTTTATACAAAATACAATCAAACGACATTTAATCGTCATTAACATTGCGGTGCAGTTGCTGCTGATTCTGCGAAGTATTGCGAACGTGTGTCGTGTACATGTGTGTTGATGATTTGTGATGATTCATGGACGATTATTCGTGCGTCACACCAGAATATCAAGATTATAATTCACAATGAATTTAGTTCTTATATACATTCATCCGGATATCTTCAATAATATTTTATTGAATAGATAACTTGATAAATGTTTATAAAAACACGTAATATTATTAATCCAAAGCACCACACCATATTATAGACACACATTGCGCAATTAGTGATTTATTTGTGATTAGTGCAATATTTATGCTAAGCGTGGTGATGTTCATGTTGGTGATGAAATAGTAGTATATATTTCAGGTTGCAGTTTATTTTGTACATCAATGCTCATCATCTCAAAAATCATAGAATTAAAAACAAAAATAATGTCATGCAAAAATTATTTACACAAAATGATTACACACACAAGAATCAAATTGATATTGCCAAACCATGCAGAGAAAACACACAGCAAAGTGCAAATTAACAAAACGTAATTAAAATAAAAAACATAAATTAATTTATGTAAGGCAAGAAATCACACACACATGCTGCGTTTCGTCTGCACGTGGCGATAATTGCTCACGCAAAATGACAAAATTTACAAAGTTATGGCTAAAAAAATAAATTAAATACTTAATAAGTACAGATATTGCAGAGAAATTACTCGAAATTTTGTCATTCAACTATATCACAAAATATACAAACATCAACATTGTCGTTGTGATAAATGTGGATGATATGGCCAAACACCCCACAAAAATATTATTTAACACTGATTAAATAAGCATTGGCTGGGATGGGTGAGTGCGTGTATGGGAATCAGTAGTGATGGGTGCGTGGAATCAGTCCCATTACCTGCAAACATTGTGCCCTTGTGCCCTGCGTCCCCGTATTTTTAGTCCACGCTGTCCAGCGTCCACAAATGTGTGATTTTTGTATTATGATGTTGTAGTTGTAGTAAACGCGGAGCAACAACGCGAGAGATCACGCATCCGACTGACGAACGGCGGAAAATTCGACACTTTCGGTGAGGTGAACGTTTCATCGATTTCCGCGTTCTGCGCGCGCGCACATGGAAAAAGTGGGAGAGGGCCCGCTGTATACTCTTCACCAAATTTCGGTGTCGTTGATCCCCTTGATAGAAAGCACGCGTACCGGCGTTTTGTTTGAGTTCCCGTACGCGATTAACGGACTTGTGGGCGCTTGCGTTTGCACCCCATGACATTGCTTCTCGCACAACACCGGCGAGACTAAGGGTGAGACTGTCGCGGGGTAGTTAATTCGGTCCCGCCATAATTCCTCAGCGATTTCCTGCTCGATCAAATCTTCAACATCTAATTTCACCCGGGTGATTCGCGGCAAAGCATTATTGGCGATTCTATAACTGTCACTACGTTTGATTTTCCGCGGTGTAAGCGTACCGTTCACCCTCTTGGGGGTGGTGGTAATTTCGCGCGTTTGGACTTGATTATTGGGCTTACCTTCACCGTTCAGCACGTTCACGTACGCCCCACGCGACGTGTTGAACTGTTTTGTGGGGGTGGGCGAGACAATGGTCGAGGGTGGCATGCGGACTATTTCTGTCGCACCGCTGCTGGCCTTAATCACGACTTTACCTAATTGTGGCGACAGAGGCTGGCCATCGTCCGTCCGCTTCTTCTCAACTCTGGTGGGCAATGGACTTTGCGCAGGCGAATGCTGTTTCACAAACGGGCCCGGTTCAAAAGTGGTATGTGCTCCTCTACGACGCTTCAAACTGTCAGAACTGTAGATGACGCGACCTTCGGAGTTGAGGGTGACCCGCGCTCCTTTGCGTCGACGTTCCAATGAATCCGACGTGGCTGATGAGGTGTTGTTCACATCTGAGCTTTCATTACAGGGCAGTTCATTGAGGGAAATGTATTCAGTTTCTATTTTACCGGATAACACTGTGGTTAGGTTATGATTAACCACATCGTTATTCGCGTAAATCGCGTTGGTTTTCTCGTTGTTATTCTTCACATCTTGAATTGTCACATATTCACCTGCATCAGTACAATCCAGATTCTCAGGTCTTACAGGGGATTTACTACTTTTTGTACTGAATGCTGATAGATTAAGTTTTAACTTCCCCAGCATATTATTCAAAGGCATCAATGTTGCTTTGAATATCGGCTGGGGACTTTTACTAGGAGCTGAAACATCTTTTACTATCATGGTACCACCACTGGGTGAAGCCGATCTTAACGAAGCTTTCTTCTCAGGTATTGTATCAATAGTAGCATAACCAGTTTGTGGGTTAACATTGATCACTTGCATTTGCCCTTTGTTAACAATCCCTTCAACATTGTTGTTATTATTAATATGATTCTCTTCATCATCGCTTTGATTCGGAGTGATAACACACATTGATGGTATTCTACTGGAGTTAATCGTTGTCTTCACTCGGATTCGTTCAATCCGATCAGCGCCTTCCATATCAGACGATTCAGAATATTCAAATTCAGACCCACTCCTGAGTCCATTGGGACTGTTGATTGACTCAATTGGAGAACTGGATGTATTGTGTCCGCTATCCGGGGACACATCCCCATCACTGTTATTATTATCCTTATGAACCTGTACCACCACAGTTGATTTAGTTACTGGACTACGTTTGACCGTTCCGGTTTTTCAGAACTGTAATCCCGTTCCAGGGAACTCTCAGGAGATTTATTGGATAATGAAAGTTTGGAGAGTGAACTTTTCCGTTCGGGAACAACTGGTCCGATTATCAAAGACCTATCACTTTGAGCTGCCCTTAAAGTGGTACAAACAGTACCAGCGGAACTTGTCGTGGTGGAAGTAGACCCCTTCCCGAAGAGTTCATACTCATTCTCGGCTGTATTCACTGAGGAATTACTAAACGTCGAGGTGGAATGTAATGGCGTAACAGGTGAGTCTTCCTCTTTCAAGGTCTTCAATCCACTATCCATGTGGAAAGATGTGTAATAACCTTCAGTATCACAAGAGTAAACCGAACTGGTTTCGCCATCTTCATGTAGATCATGAATGATATCCGGGGTGAGGGTACCTTCACTGGTGACACTACCACTGGTCGATGCATTGATGTACCTTCTTCTACTGTTGACGGAACTAGGTGGATGGAGATTCAGTGAGTTGTTTGATGTAGCTGCCGATGTGGATGACTTGGGTTGGGTGGTCGTGGTGATTTCTGATCCGATTGAAGCACGTCCACTTTCTGAGGACGCACTCCAATTGCCACTGGATGAATGTGGTTCATCTTTATTACCACCGGTCCTGCGTAATCTTCGTTGTGCGGAACTATCTCGCAGTTTTACGGTTGCAATGTTCATGACAGGGATGTTGATGCTGGATTTTTCACTGGAGGAACAAGAGGGTTTTCGTTCGTGTAAAGATTTTCGTTCTTTGTCGATGTTTCGTTTACGCTTCAGCGTGACGGTTTCATACTGATGGTCTTCTTCAAAACTTCGATCTGATGATTTATCAGTGTAGTTCGCGATCATTTTCTTACCCCATTGTTTAAGGGTATTAAAATGTGACTTTTTTATCGTTTCGGATGAATCTCGTTTTCGTAATAGGTCGCTGGATTTACTCCGACCAACTATTACGGAAGTAGTTGGTCGATTTATGGGGGATTCCGCAGAATCTGTCTGGACTTCGGAGTTTTGATCTTCCCTATTAGAAAAAACACAAAAGCATCTATAGATTGATAAATTTTTAATGAAAGTTTATAAAGTACATACGCAGCAGTAAGAGCATCCCGAATTTCCTTCTGATCCGTGCCCGCGAGCGTATTCCGCCGCCTGTTGCGCGGTTTCCGGGTTTTCGTGCGTCTCCGCACGGTGCTGCCATCATCCGGTGGGGTGGTAACTACACCGCCGTCTCCAGCGACGCCCGCCGTCATCAGGGAGCGCCGCATACCGCTCATTCGGTCGAAGCGTTTGCCGCTCACGTCGACTGTTACCATTTCCGCCGGAAATCTAATTAATATTCAAAAACGTCCAGCGTAATTAGAGATGATTTCAATTTCCGGAAATAATTACTAGAACGAGGACTTACTTGAGTGCGACGACGTGAACCTGCTCCTCTGGTGAAGGCAGCTTGTGGTCGATGCCTTCATCGTCGGAGATGACGGTGCCGTCGGTGATATCACCTTCGTTGATGGCCGAAGGGTTGGTGGCAGTGACGGAGGGATCACGCCGGATGCGGACGCCGTCCGTCATCACGGTAACATCTCCGAGCGCTTCCGACGACGTCCATTTGCGGAATTCTTCGACCAGAGCAGGCTGCAAATTAAAATAAAACACCTGTTACTGTATGGCAACCAACATTACATTAATAGCACATAATAAAATTTAATGTAGGTATGCAACCCAGTATGCACAGAAACATAAAGAAAAGTTATCGCAAAAGTGCATTTTATGGGAATGTGTTTTTAAACTGGAACACATTTTGGCCGATAATGCACATAAATGTTCGACGTCGTGCTGGTTGTTGTATGTTTGATAAAAACTATCGGCGACACGAGCGACACACCACGACGAAAGCAGAATGCCGGCGTATGAAAACTGGTTTTTCACTCAGAAAAACGAGCAAGCAGCAAGTAACGACACTCACAAACTCTCTGCCAGAGTGTCGCACTCGCACAATGTTGTGGTAAAAAGGTAAAAGAGGTAAAGGAACTGTAAAAAGTACTGCACAGTGCACACTTTCTTGCTGCTTCAAATATTTACTCAAACAGAGTGTTTTGCACTCGACCCACGCTCAAAACATGTTATAAACTCGCTAGAATATCTAAATGTCAATTAACAACGTGAAAAAACCGTTTTTATACGGTCAGTAAAAAAGTTTAATTAAATTTGTGCATAAACATAAAATGAAAATCAACTTCCGGTATGTTAATGACGGTTTTATCTGTCCACCATCTTGTGGAGACGCTTCAAAGGCGAACGTCAATAAAAAGTGTGAAATATTACGTTACGTAATCCTGTTTATGACCCGCACGCAGTTGTAACGTGTGAAAAGACAATCGATGCATTATTTAAAGTTGAAACTCGCTCGTAAATTTGTGTTGATGTCGAGATGATAGTGATTTGATTCGACTAGAATTAACACACTTCATTCTAAAGCCACACACATCGATTGCTTATGTTTTGTTAGTTGAAGCATGCTAAATCGATTTGTTCGACGATGAGAAAGATGAAAAGAATTTCACCGAACGTCTCACCCACGACTGCGGCGTGGATTAACGACGTCTTAATTAAAATTTCATCGTAAAGAATGGAATTAAGCTGGCGGGACGCCAAAGTTGATGAGAAGCTGAAAAATGCCACCGCGAAACTTTTAAACAACGAAAATTAACAAAATGTATATCATAAACTTGATTCTCAAATGATTTTCAAGTTACTTGTTGAGTAATTCCATCGAGTAATAGCATTAGTAGATTAATTGCTTTACAACTAATAGAGTTTACAAGGTTTATCGGCTGTGTGGTTGTTAATATTTTAAAAGCAGCAGAAAGTGGATTGTGTGATGTTGCATCATAAATAAAAGCTGATACAACATGATAGAAAATGCAGTTTGCATGCGCATGTTGACCGACTCTCTCTCTGGGACTACACAGCTTTCAGACTAATTAATTACGAACGCTTTAATTTTAATGATCGCATCGACTTCGTTTACATAATAAAGCAATTTGTCAATCGGATGAGAAATACAAATTATTTTATAACTTTTAATATTTTTTTCTTTTGGTTAGGTTGAGTTTAGGTTAGAAAAAGTTTGACTTTATGCAACCCAATAAGCTTTTCTTTTTGTTTGTGGCAAGAATTAGGCAACCACAACTCCACCAGCTTCCAAAAGTTACATCTCACATGTACAAAAGGAAAAAACTCAAACAAACTATGCGTTCGTAATTTATGACAGCACTTAACCTTATCTCTAAAAAGTAGTACATCATGATTCATGAAGATTGACTTCAACGTTATCAGATTTCATTATTTGAACTGTTTCAACATGTTGGTTATTCGTTGTATCTTCTACCATCTTCTAATCCTGTAAGTTTTTATTTATCTACGTTTGTACACATATTCGAACGAAGTTCTGCTTCGAGCATGGCCTTAAAAGCCGGCCGTGTGCAATGTGCACCGTTAGGCCGTCAATTCATTGACAAATTTATCGAGATGCATGCTGCGCTGTACTATACGCTCAAGACGTAACGGGTCTCAACACAACGCAGGAATTAAGAAATTAATGAACAGATATTGTTGCTTCCTACACGCCTTCTCTGAAAACACATTTCGACACACGTCAAGTTCAAGTCACACTACCATATGATCATAATTATACGAATTACAGCAAATAGAAGCTATGGAAATGCACAATGTGCGTTGGGAAACGTATTATTAGGGGAGCGAGTGTAATTAAAGTTGCATATATTAGGGTGCAACTTAGAAGGTGGCTATTGTAACGCGAGGGCGTTGTTGACCATGAAAATCAACGTTCATGCATACGACTTGTAAGGAATAAGAAACGGAACAAATATGACTCATCCGGAAGTCTGGATACATGGTGTATATGAAAATATTCTTCATGTGTTTGAAAATCGATCAGTTTTACACGTTTACAGATCAAATTTTTTTGTGAACTTCGTTAAAACAGTACGCTTGCACAACGCTTGCAATTCAATTACGATTTTCTGTTGCAATCGTTGTTTCATTGACATTCTGTGCGCGTTAATTGAATTTTCAATTGCGAATGAAAGCGTAAAACGTATAAATCGTCATTTTTAAATAAAAATACACAAAATAACAAGATGTCAACAAAGAAAATGTGTTTTTAGTTTACTTTGTTGTTTTTTAACCTCTTCCAAGTCGTAAAAAGTGAGAGTTGGGTTAACAATGCGAAATTTATTTAAATTAAATCAAAAGTTTGGCACTTTGGCACCTTTGCCGGAAATCGAGCAAGTTTTTCATCCACTTTCTCTACTTTTTTATTCAACACGCCACATTTACTTTACACTTCTCTAAGGAGCAGAACGACCATCACGATACAACAGGGAATTGTAAACTTTTCCAAAAACTTTTGAATCCGCACGAAAATCTTACTCTACACATCGCAAGTCGTGTCAAATCATGATTTAATTAGTTAAGATAACAACTAGATAAAAAACTTATTACTTACCATTCGTGTCTCGATGTCAATATCAAATTTATTCCTAATTTTACGCCTGCGTCCACCGAGGATAGGCGTACACATGAAGAAGCGCGAGGATCGATGGCCATCTCTTCGCCATCTGTCCAATTGTCGCATTAGATGTACTGGTGTCTTGGCTGCGGCTTCATACAGGTCTTTAACCGCCTTCGGACGCGATGCGCGCTCGAAGAGTCCAGTGGTGAGCGGATGTTCAATGTGATAATGATTTTTTAACAGTGCGAAACTTGCTATGGTGCTTACAGCTGCAAAACAAGAAAGAAAATAATTAGTTTATGAGAAGTAACAACTTGCACAGGTTTTAATTCATTTAGGACTGACCACAGTAATTAATATCAATGCTTTCAGTGGGAAAAGTTTGTGAAACTTTCTCATACAATGTAAATTGTTTGAATGTGAAATATATTTCCCATTTATGTGATGACCGTTGTACATTTTCTTTTCTTTTATTTTATTTTATATTTTAAGGTCCGGGAGTAAAGTGGATTGAAAACAAATTTATGTAATGCACTCCGCCACGCCGCCTCTTTCAATATCCGATACAGAATAGTGATGTGAAAAATAGAAAATTTAACAGGAATCGACCAGATTCCATTTTTAGTAGGTATCGCTTTACGTATCGCATTTCCCAACCGCAAAACCAACAAAAGTTGCGCGAGTTGAAGTATTATATCAACATATCGGACACTTTTCGAGGAAACTGCGAGCCACCTACTTCAACTTGAGCGAATCGAGTGCAGCAAGCTAGAAACATATACACGACAGGACCTGGGTGGTTCAAGTTGTGTGGTCTTTTAACTCCGACCACATCCACAACATGATGTTTAAATATTTGTTGCAAATACAAGCAGCGAGACGGACATTAAACTCTCGTGTGATGTGCGATGACCGGAAAAATAGTTTGCTATTTGTTGGTAAACTTTGTTCGCAAATTGCTGAAATGGCTTTGTTTAAATTGAGATAACAAGTTGGTACAGGGCAGAGTCATTCCAGGTGGAGGTTAGCTTTCAATAGGAATGCGTTATGTTGGATAAAAGGTTCCATTGTTTCAGGATGTAGGCTCGTGTCGATACTGGCCCGTCGACTGTTTGATGTTAATTAAATTACTTTGCTCGGCTGCTCACTTCGGTCCTTTCTGACTTACTCTACGCTGTTAATACCACGGAAATCATGAAAACGTATGCATGAGCACGAAGTTTCAGAGTTTCTATAATGCTGGAAAGTGTAGATGTGGATATAAAATGTCTTCTTTATTTTATAAAAAGTTTTGTAGCAAGATTTTTAAATTACCGCAAAGTTTGATTCTTAATGGACTTTGCTACTACTGTAATCTTCAACGAGCGCCGGCGGCTACTGTGCGGTCATCAGACATTCGACAATTTAACCATCCGCAACAATCTGCACTCCGCAATGCGCAATGAGCAAAGTGCATTAGCAGCGAACGAGTTTTTCAGCTCTCTTGGCAGGGTTCACGCAGTTCAAGAGTAGAATGTTTAGTCTACGTGCGCAGTGAAACTTTTCCTTCAGCACACGCTTGAAATATGATCCAGAATCCGCGCGCAAGTTGTACGTTTCAATATGGTAATTGATATAATTAGTATAAAGGTGCGAATATGATTCTGTTTACCTGTAACCTCCACTTTCACATCAAGAGTGCACCAACCCGCAATGTGACGATAAATCAATGCTAATGAGCAATATACTTCGTCCCAGAATGGAACAATACCGACGGCAACACAATGCGACACGAAAACATTAACGTGAGTACGAACAATGCCCGGTACACCGGGTTTAGTTATCAAATTTATCAAAAGCAACCATTTCGACAGGTCTCGCGTCGAAACCTCAACAATATTCAAGATGTTTGTGTTACGGGCAAAGGAAAATCTATGACATGATTGATTATTGTTCGCCTGTCGAAACGAATAATAAGAATCGCAGAGGTGCAGAGGTGAAATGCGTCTTGACACTCTTGACATATCAAATTTTCGTTGGGTGGTGAAATAACACCGGCACGTGCCACCGAAAAGTTGCAAAACGCAAATTTAATCATTTTTTATTTTATGCGCGAAATTCGTGTCGGCGATAATTCATCTTAATGCTCTTATTTGCGTGCGCAGTCATTTACATGCGCGCCGCGTGCACAATGTTCGAGTTGAATAATTTGACATCTCGGCATGTCTGCACGTGAGCACATCTCGCGGAGTCACATTGCTTGGCACGTGTCCAACGCAGACGCCGAATCGCACAAAAATGCAAATTGAATACAAATAGCAGAGGATAAAGAGCGGCGAAGAAATGAAAGTGTTGAAATTTCATTATTTTCAGCAAACCAAAGAAAAAACACAATATATTGAAGAAATTGTATCTTTTTATTGAAAATATCAATATTATTTGAGTGGTGTTGTTATAATAACACTCTCGGTTTCCCGCACGTGACTAAAATCGACAAACATGTCGCATTATTCGACAGTATTATAATTGTGTTCGACTGGTTGCCTGCCGCAGGAGAAGCGCAAAAGGGTGGAGGAGAGTGACAGAATGAAAACCAATAGATTAACATGAAGGAAGACCCTTCAACGAAGAAGGATTCCAACGTCAAGTCCTTTCTAACCCAAGTCCTAAGAAATGACATCGTTTACGAGACATTTAGCAAGTCAACTGAAAATCCAACAAAATATTACCATCAGAAACCCAAGAAAACAAAAAATCACCAATAATTAATTATTACATTTACCAAAGTAGTAATTACACATTAAACACAATAAACAAGCGTTGCAGTACCAGTAGCAGATGCCCGACATGATGTTAAGCTGCAAAGCAGCAGAACATGCAATATCCAGCAGTGATCAGCACGGAAGCAAGTGAATACTGCCGAAAGGTGCTTACATACAGTACACACATCTAACAGGCACATTTATATAAACACAATTGTATGAGTATACTGTAATTGTTTCTACAACACCTTGTATTATTTACGAGCGGCACGCCAACGCAACTTCACCTCTGATGCATTTGCAAATGTTTGTGATGTGAGCAACGGTGTAGCAAAATCAGCGGAACGTGAAAGCTTCTTGCCTTTCACAGCATAATAATTAATTTCAAGTTTACGTTTCGTCAAAGATGAGGTTATGAAAAACACTAACGCCATCTACAAGTGTATATATGTATGAATATATATAATATGGTAATTTATTATTTCTATAGGTGGGTCCTGCCCACGTGCACATCTGATAACTGGCAATCAGCGCAATCAATCGTCGCTGGAATGTTGCAACGCTCGACGAAGTCGAGACTCCACTTCGTTTTCATGCTTCATTGAATCGCATACACAATGAGCGTTTAATTTAAAACATTCTTCCACTTAACTTGCGCGCCATGTCTTCCATCTTGATTTAAATTTAGTTACATTTTTTTCATTTTTCACATGATTGAGTTTCACCTTTTGGCTAATGACATTAAACTCGCATAAATATATTTACTTAACGTGAAAATCGTAAATTTTCAGTTTGGTGGGTTGTAGGAGACGATAACGACACTTTTACGGGTTTTAAATATCACGTTATCACCTTTTTTCCAATTTCTAACAATTTAAAGAGCTTCGTATTTCGTTCGCTTCGCATTTCGGCCACTAACAAGCAAAAAATAAATTTTTCCAAACGATTTTCCACAGCGTTTACTGTATGTGTTTACTTTTTTTTTTATCTGCGAGCGAATTTATTCGTTGATATACGATTCAACAAGCCATTTGCACTCTTTTTCGCTGTGCGGGTTTGGTGATTTCAGCGTGAATGCTGGAAGAATTTCAATAGATGCAGAAATTGCGATTCAAAGGTACATCTTGTGTGCGGTACAGAAAAACGTGAGCAAAATGAAAACATCTTGCATACGCCCTCAAAGTCTAGACTAAACAACTATTATTCTACGAATTATTATAAAACAAGATTAAATATTTTACATTATTCACGGAGTGATTTATAACATAACCTCATTACACCATAATTGTATAATTTATTTATATCGAACGTATTTTTCATTGTTTTCCACGTCGTTAACTTAAACTACCAACTCATCTTGCCGCTTGTCTCATTTTTTCAAGCGTGTATAAAAACTTAATGCCCTGTATGCGCCTCGGAAAAAAAATTGACTGCGTGAATTCGGCGATTTGTGCACTCACTCATGTGGCAGAAAGAAACATATCGAGATAAAACCACTTGAGGAAAGTGACAGAATAAAAACCAAAGAAAATCATTCGCTGGAAACATGTTGGTGGTGCTTTTTTGCGGTTAGGAAAAACAAAATTAGGTTATGTTTACTTATACAGCCATACTGAATTGAATTGCATCGTAGAAACAAAAAATACATATAAACTCGGTTGGAATTCGGACAACTTGCCAAATATGGCTTAATTGGGACCCACAAGTGTCTGAAAATTTCATTGGCATACCGTTATACTTATAAAATTCCTTAAAAACAAGTTTTTAATAAAATTTTAATGAATTTTAAGGTTAAATTAAATTACTACTGATATATATGATCCAATTTTTGAGTAGAAGACAAATTCTTCATTTTAAACATGTGTGAAGACAGTAAACACTTTAATTATGAACAATTAGCGTGGCTGATGAGTCAATTAACTTGTTCTTGTAATATATGTTGCATACAACTGAAAATACAACTTGAAAAATGATCTAAAATCTAAACGCCGACACAATATGAATGTATAGCTGTCAAAAAATAAAACGAATGTCGCAATCGGATACTTTATATTGTTTACGACATGTTGGGGAGGCTGTGCCCACGATGGCGTCGCTGGACGCCCACACATTCGTCATTTTTTTCCGTTCACGAAAAGTTCAAACTCATCCAACGCGAGGTAAAGCTCAGCCCGGTTTGTGTGCCGAGTTGAGTTGTTTAGTTGTCTGACAAACGGTTTTCTGTCGCGAAGTCTAGACTATTTGTTACTCATAGAAGAAACACAATATTTCTCCCTTTTCTGCCCCAAAAACGCATAAAATGTGACTTGTACTCTGTTACACTTTTATTGTTTCTTCGATAAAAGCGCTAATACGCCACCCTCGAATTGCGAACGGACAATAAAATTGGATTAAATCGTGTTCGCGTTTATTGACTGCGCGATCATGACTTACGGACGTATCGAACGCGCTTTTCGACTATTCGGAACGCACATACGTATGTGAGTAGTACATAATTTCATGCGTTTTATTGCTAAGGCCATGTGCAA